CCCCCCCCCCAAATAATTAAAAAGAAAGGAAAGGGGAAAATAATCTCTAACCATATTCCACGTTACATTTTTTAATTGTTCTTTTCCTCTAGCAAGTTCTCTATCGGATCTCTACAGAATAATGTGTACAGCTAAATAACACAAGAATTTGATGAATTGCTTGTATTCTGCACGTTGCCTACAGCTACATTTAAGTACATAGGTTCAAAGGTACTCTCCTTTGGAGTCTCGCGATATTTCAGAGCTGTAGCGCCGTCCAGACCGCGAGAAGATGAGCAATGGCAATAGAAAACAAACCTGGGGAGGAATTTGACACAATTTTCAGTCGAAACGATTCCCTGGAGCTCTCCTCTCACCACGAATACGACACTACACACGCTCGGATTTTCAAGATAATAGTAATAGGAGACTCAAATGTGGGGAAGACGTGTTTGACCTACCGGTTCTGCGGGGGCACTTTCCTGAAAAACCCTGAGGCAACTATCGGGGTCGATTTCAGAGAGAGGACGCTGGAGCTGGACGGAGAGAGTATCAAGGTGAGAAGTCCTACATTTTAAGAAAGGCACACGGCAGATACCTGTGAACGTTCACTGTTTTTTTGGCTATGTTAGGTTTATAGGTCAGCTCACAGAGCCTGACCTGGAGTCTGTTTTCAGCCTGTAGGCATGTGATGGAGCTTACTTTGACCAGTTGTTAAAATGAAGGCTTTGTCACTCCTATGAGGCCATTGTCATTGTTCACAAGAAAGGGAATAACGAAACTTGGTGTAAAGCCAGTTCATAGTCATTTCTGTTCTTCCACATATAAGTATTTATCTTCATTCTATCCTCATTTGCCTGGAGATTTCCCCCCTTTTTACGAGCTTCCAGTCAAAGTGAAACAGATCATGCCCCAGTCTGATGAAGTGATCCAGATGCAACACAATAACAGGTCAAGTAGATTTTTTAATAGTTTTTCCCGCAAATTTAAACCCATTTTTTGGAGGTGCTGTCAAAAAAGTCTATTTTGGAGCACTTTCCACAGCAGACAATTTGACTCATCACAGTGGGAACATGCAGTCTATGATAATGACACTAATGTTAGCTCTGTCTGTCGGTGTTTCAGTAAACCATAACAGTGAGTGAGTAAAAGGCAGTGAGCCAGGATGCACATTACCCGATTGCCGATAAAAGGAATTCAGCCATCTCTGGTTTAATAATTTAAACTTCAGGTTCTCCTTCTGTAAGATGCCCAAGTGTCT